CCCCCATCTCCCCCCATCCACTAACCCGCCACCAGCCTCCCTTCGCCGCCTCGCACACCCTAATCGTCCTCGCGCCCATCCTCATCGCCGCCGACAACTACCCTGCTCCTCGGCCGCCTCATCCGCGCCGTCCTCGACCGCGACCGCACCCGCCACCGCGTGCTGCGCATCCCCGCCCGCTGGCTCACCCGCGTGTTTGTGTGCTGTGATGTGGTCTTCTGTCTGGTGCAGGCGAGCGGGTCGGGGCTGGCGGCATCGCAGAATTGGGTGGGGTGAGATGGCGGATGTGGGGGTCAATGTGTTGATTGGCGGAGTTGGTATTGCAGGCCGGTGGCGTTTGCGGTGTTTTTGGCGGTTTTGGGGAGGTTTTGGGGGATGGCGACGCGAAGGGAGGGGGGGTTGGTGAGGGCGGATGCGCCGGGGGGGTGGCGCAGGGTGGTTGGGGCAGTGGTGGTGTCGAGTGTGTTGATTATGGTATGTGTGCTCTTTTTCGTTGTGGTGATGGGCTTTGTTGGCTTGGGGATGGGTACCCATAATGTGTGAGGGGTTGATGGGCTGACCTGAACACTACAGATACGTTGCATCTACCGCGTCGCCGAGTTCGCTGAAGGCATGGGAGGATACTCGTTCAACCATGAGTGGTTGTTCTGGGTGTTTGAGTCGGCGCCGATGCTCATCGCCATTGGGGTGTTCTGTGTCTTTCATCCAAGTGCTTACCTTGGCCCTGATGGGGCTTCTTACAAGGTCGGTGAGCTTGGTGACTCGGAGGGTGCTACCGAGCTACGCACAAGTTACCACAGCGATCACGGTCTTCGTTGAGGAGCGGATGTGTTCTGGCCGGACCTGATCAATGTCACGAAGCTTGCATCACCGGGTGCACCATGCGTCCCAAGTATAGAAGGTATTAAATTGTTAAAGAGATAGACTATGCTCCAGAGACCTTCTCCGTCTACCCATGCTTCCACCTGACACGCATCTTGGCTGTTTCTGGGGGCAGCATAAAGTTCAGCAGCGACTGCCGTTTCCCCGGCCTCTTGGTTACCTCAACTTCATAGTTGAGAAGTACATACGCAGTTGCTTGCTTAACCATTTGTGCCACAAACCAGCGCCCGGGGCAAGCATGTCTTCCGTATCCAAGGGGCAGAAACGTAGCGGTTATGCTGGTCACGAGCTCTCTCTTTCCGGATGGCAGCGGGTGGCCTGCATTCTCCGCCTCATCGAAATCCCGCGAGAAGCGAAAGGCATCAAACTTCTCTGGCTCCTTGTAATTGTTCGGATCCATGTGGACCATCTGGGCAGGGAACACGGTGCGGACCTCTGAACCCGCGGTGATCCGGACGCCGTCTCCAAGATCGATACCCTCGCCACTCCAAACGTCGAGGGGCATCAGATGGACCATTACATCGTTTAGGCGCATCGATTCGCGCACGGCGGAGTCAAGTCGGTAGAGGGAGTCGACGGCCTCCTTGGTGGCTAGCCCCTTATGCTCGCCAGAGACGCGGGCGCATTCTTCTTCCAGGCCACTGACAAACTCTTCGCGCGACGGACTGCAGTAGATGTCCAGTACAACGTGGGCAAAGACCCAACCAATGGCGAAGACAAACATGGATGTCAGCGCCAGGATGCGCGTGGCGATCTTGTGGGCTGTCATCTGCTCCGGGCCGTGGTTTTCGGCCACGGCTATCAACCACTGGATCACATCGCCCTGGGGGAGGTTAGACCAAGTTGAACCATACATAACGTGATAAGTTGACTTGAAAACTTACCGGATGATCATCGCTATTCTGGACCTTCTTCTCCCTTTGCCGCTGCAACCGCTCCTCCACCATTGGCACCAGGATCTTCATCAACCGGCGTTGATGGTATCGAGCCCGCATCGCCATCACCGGCGCCAAAACGGGCCTGATCGCAGGGGGGACGCAGTTGATGAAACAAGCATCTACCAGCACGGCATTCGCATACAGTCTGGACCGTTCCAGGTACTCCTCGTCCCGGCACCCGGGTAGTCCGACCATAATCCGCAGGGCCGCACGAGCGATGATCTTCACCATTGAGTCCCACGCATTAACCACCGTCCCGTCCCTAGAGTTCCCCCAATGCGTCCGGAACGCGGCGTCCCATTCCTCGGCCATGATCCCAGCAAGAACGCCCATGTTCTTGGGGGCCAGGTTCTTCCGGACAATGTCGAAGTGGATGGTGTTTGCGTACACGTCCTTGTCCGTCATGAGGTACTGAAACTGTGCGTTCTCAAGCAAAGCGTCAAAGCTGGAGAGCTCATCCCGCGGCCGGTTGAGCAAGTGCAGCATCGATGGCGGCAGCACCACCACAGCACCGCCGATCCACATAGTGGGAAGGGCGAACGGCTTGCCGAGCTTGGAGAACTTCTCGTAGCCGTCATGGACGACGACTTGCATTGACGTTATCGACCTCATGATACCCAGTCCCCAGGCGAGCATGCCACCCCCTGGCGCAACACCCACGGTGTCGAGTTTGGCCCATATCTGTTTGTTGCGTTGACTGCGCCGGAAGTATGCCACTGCAAACTGGATAAACAGTAGTCCAACTGCGGCAAGCACTAACACCAATGTTTGAGCTACCCACGCCATGGTGATGGGATTGACGAAGAGTGAGACAGTTTGCTGGGTTCCGATATTACCCCAATTCCAGCGCAGAAAGATCGACTGGTTTCGGGCGAGCCCGTCCCCATGTGCGGCTGTCTCTAAGCCTGCATATCAAGACTTGTGTGACTGGCACAGTCAGCATCGTCTTGGGGGTGGGGTTTCAGCGTGTCTCGGTCAAGGCCTCCAAGAGGGTGTGTACCGAGCGCCAGCGGGATCAGAGTCTTCGGCTCATAGCCGGCGCTTCTTCCTCCTGCAGCCCTACGGCGAAGCTATTCCTGTCGTCCGGCTCTTTCACAATCAACGCCGTCACCAGGACCAATAGGATGACAAGGTCAAAATTCCCACGATCGACAAGCGCTGAATGCAACCAAGGTCGGAAGGGCAAACCCAACACCCTCCCCGTTAGTTACATGCTCACTAACCGAGAGCAGTACCACGGCCCGTGCATGCCGAAAGACGTGGCATCTTTCTTTCGATGTAACCTCAATATCAGACGAACCAACCGCTTATGGCTAATCATGACCAAACCAAGGTCCAGAACGCGGCGGAGACTCAGCAGTCCGAGTCACCCGAGTTAGGAAAGATTTGTCGTTTTTGTTTAATGGTTCAAGACGACGTCACAGACCCTAGGCCTCGCCCGCTGTTTCATAGGGAGGGGTACCGTGTGGCACAGGACAAGGAACTAGAGTGCCGTGGGGTGATCTTCTCTTTTTCTCGTCAATCCCCCAGCCGTTGAATTGTGGCTTACGGCGCGGCCCGGGGTGTGATTGCCCAGGCCAAAGATGTGCCGAGATCAAAACGCCATGATATGCATGAATCGAGGCCCAAGTACCGGTACCTTGACCCAATTTCTGCCGAGAGCCCACTCCCCCCGGAATCATGTCCTTCACATGCCGGGTTCTGATGGCCCGATCCAACCCTGCAGTGCCCTGCCATACCATACAACATCACTATCGAGAGGGGTGTGACATTGCCAGCACCCAAGCGGCGTGTTTCTCCGGTTACGAGGAAGTTGGAACGCTCGTTGGTTGAGGAGCGGTTGGGGGACTGCCTGTCGAGCCGTGCGTGAGTACCTAGGATTGCTTTCACAAAATGATCTGTCACACGGCATCCTGGGGCTGAGCCGTCCGAAACACCATTGCTGGTGCATGATGTTGGACTGGCACAGCTTCTGGGCGGAGCTGCAGGACGAAAACCGGTCCATCCAAGCAAGGTACATGCATTACGACCTTGGCCTACAGTTGATACCGTGTCGGGCTGTCATCCACCCGATCAGGTAGGTGGTGACCGCATCACATGTTTGTCGCACAGCATTTTGTCCAAAATGAATTGGTGCATGGTAACGTCCAGTCTGCATGGTTCTACCCTGACCCGCATCGGCAGCAGCCTGTTGATGATCACTCCAGACTGTACGGGCTGCCGTTGGGTAGGGAAATCATGGGTGAGGCCCCAGCCCGGAAAATGACACCATTCTCCCCGCGCGGGCACAAAAAAAAAAGAAAGAATAGACAGGCGAGAAGGTCACCTGGGGAACGCGGTTCTGCCTAAGTGAACTTTCGTTGTAGAAACTCGGCGTCCGAGACCACACTTAGTAACCGACGACACAGCTGTCAACAACATGGAGTGAGTGCCGCTAACCGCTTTTACGTCAAGTTCGCCCCCCTCTGACAGGTGAATAATAGCCGTGAAAAAGCACCAAGTACGGTGACCGCGATGCCTTCCGGTAACCCGCCGCCGGCCCGGGACGGCCCTGAGACCGAGACGCCGCCGTCCGAAGACCCATCCGTGCCGGACAAGGAGGTCATCCAGCCAGATGAACAGGAATACGTTACGGGTTTCAAGTTGGCCATTATTGTTGCCAGCGTCGCCCTTGCTTGTTTTCTGATGCTCCTGGATACCATGATTATCAGCACGGTGAGTTTCGCCGTGCCGCTTGTTCAACACTCCCGTCGCTCATAGAGTGTCTTTCTGTGCTTTCATTCCAGGCAATCCCACGCATCACAGATACCTTCAACTCGCTCCCCGATGTTGGATGGTACGCCAGCGCATACCAATTTGGCAGGTAATCTCCAAGACCTATCCCAATCTCGAAGAATGTAGCGGACTGACCGCCCCCAGCGCCGCGCCACAGCCACTCACGGGAAAAATATACACACACTTCAACACCAAGGTTTGTCCACCACCGGAACCGCCTTGGGTCAGGCCCTGGGTTACTAATGATAATACGTCAACACAGTGGTCATTCTTTGTCTTCTTCGGTATCTTCGAGATTGGCTCCGTTCTCTGTGGCGCCGCCGTCTCATCCGCCATGCTCATCGTCGGCCGAGCAGTAGCCGGATTCGGCGCGGCTGGCATTATTAACGGCGCGATTACCATCATCTCGAGCTGTGCTCCGCTGGAGAAACGCCCTGGTGAGGGAACCCACCTGATAGCGCTGTCTGTCGAGGGAAGACGCTAATAGGGGCTAATACGTAGCCTTGATCGGTATCACCATGGGACGTAAGACTCGCCCCAACGACGTTACTAATGGCCCCTGGACACTTACTGATGACTTCTGATAGTAAACCAGCTTGGTTTAGTCGCAGGGCCCCTAATCGGTGGCGCGTTTACCTCGTACACAACATGGCGGTGGTGTAAGTACCCCTGCGTTCCTCGCCAAGCCAAAACGCATCCTTTGGTACTAACTCAGAGGCCCCCTATCCCCCCTCCAGGCTTCTACGTCAACCTCCCCGTCGGTGCCGTTGCCGTGCTAGCCCTCCTCATCCTTCGCATCCCCGAGCAGACAAAAAAGCAGAACCCGTTGGTGGTGCTCCAGAATCTGCACCACTACCTCGACCTCCTCGGGTTCGTTCTGTTTGCCCCCGCTGTCCTGCAGCTCCTCCTCGCTCTCCAATACGGAGGCAGCCAGTACCCATGGAACTCATCCCGTGTGATCGGTCTGTTCTGCGGCTCGGCTGCCAATTTTGTGGTGTGGCTCCTCTGGAACCGGTATAAGGGGGATGATGCACTGCTTCCGCCGTCCATGGTCAAGCAGACGGCAGTCTGGGCGTCGGGGCTCTACCAGGCGTTCATGATTTCGGCCGTGTACGGTGCCACGTTCTTTCTTCCGATTTACTTCCAGGCCATCAACGACGCGAGCCCGATGATGAGCGGCGTGTACCTTCTTCCCACCATCCTGCCACAGCTGTTTGCGGCTGGTGCTTCAGGGGTTTTGTGTGAGTTCGAGCCAACCCTTTTCGCTCCCCGGAAGTTTGTTTGGGCACTAACTCCAACCCAGTGCAAAAGATAGGATACGTGATCTACCTCGCCATCCCCGGCACCATCCTCCTCTCCATAGGCTCCGGGCTCTACTCCATCCTCAGACCCGGCAGCCCAACCGGATGGTGGGTTGGCTTCCAGATCATCGCGGGCTTCGGTTCCGGCCTCAGCATGCAACTGGTTCGTCCACCCATCATAACCATCCCAAACCCATCCCTACCTACACAAATCCACCACAAAGACACTAACTAACAAACAATTGAACCACCAGGCCATCCTCGCCGTGCAAGCCGCCGTCGGCGCCGACAACCTGGCCACCGGCATGGCCTTCGTGATCTTCGCGCAGTCCCTCGGGCCCGCCATCATGCTCGCACTCTGCGACGTCATCTTCGACGCCAGCCTGCGGTCGGGGCTGCAGGCGCGGGTGGGCCACCTCGACACGGAGGCTATCATCCGGGCGGGGGCGACGGGGTTCCGCGCGATCGTGCCGGCGGTGGATCTGCCCGCGATTGTCATGGTGATTGCGGATAGCGTGGATCGCGTGTTTTATTTGGTGGCGGCGGTGGCGGCGGTTTGTGGGGTGGTGTTGTGGGGGATGGGGTGGACGGATTTGAGGAGGCGGGAGGAGGGGGGTGCGGCGGGGGATGTGGAGGGTGGGAAGGAGAAGGCGAGTGAGCTGGCGTAGAGTGGATGATGAGGAATGAGGTTGTTTGGTATACTAGTATGTTCTAATTAGGTCTCGGTTTAGCTTTATTAGGTAGTTGGGCAGGTGTCTTTTGGCTGTGTACAGGAAGTGGGGATGGAGCAATAGGGAAGACATACCTACGGATCTGGTACTAGATGCTTGAGATACACAAATCAGCGCGCCTTTCATAACCAAGGAGGTTTACGCTTGGCTGCGACGATTTGAACGGACTGTAATTTATGAATAATTATCATATTCGTAGCGGCAAAGGAGAAGGTATCTAGGCCATATGTGCGTCGTGCCTGCGACCTGCCAAACCCTTAATGTACGTCGTGAAATGTTTGTTCCTTCATCCGTTAAAACCCCCATGCCCCTGTCCCATACTCAAGGAAAAAAGAAGTACACAGATAACTACAGTGAATACAATGCTCGTGACTATTCCTTCGTCCCTCTCATACATTACCATCATACCTCTGGCTGTACGACACAGAATACTCGTTAGCCTGCATAATCATGCCATTCCCCTTGACCAGGTCCTGCTGGCTGTCCCATGTCCCCTGCTCATGCATGGCCACGGCGGAGGAACCGCCCAGCCGGCCGAGCTGATCGGGACGCATCTCCAAATCGGCATACCCGGATCCGCTGTGCTTGTACTCCTTGCTCGAGGAGGTCTGGGACGGCTTGGCACGCCGGAGAAGACTGCTCAGCGAGGCAGACAGGGCGCGTGTCGATTCCAGCCTCATGAGCGACCGCAGCGGCGGGACGCAGCCCATGATGATGACGCAGGCCTGTTCGAGGCAGGACCAGAGGATTTGGAGCGAGGCGTTGTACAGGACGTCCGTTGCTGTAGGGTCGTTTTGCTGGTCGGCGATGGTCTGGAGGCCGATGGTCTTGAGGATGGACATGACCATGGTGAACAGGGATACGCCGAGGAGGAAGATGAGAGCCACCCGTTGGGTCAGGGCCATCCTCAACCGCCAGATGATGATGACGGGGAACAGGACGAAGGTCAGGTCGGAGAATGTTATGAATGCTAGGAGTTGACGTTAGGGATTACTCTTCCCGTAATCGTCAGGATCATGACTTACCCTGGCCGACGAAAGCCATGGTGATGTAAATCTTTGGGTTCCAGCGCGTGACACTTGGATCAAACGGGTTCCAATTCCCGCTCACTGGTGTCGTTTGCAAGTATGTGCATGGGATGATGACGATGATCATGATGGAGCACGCGGCGGTGACGACGATGACGAACCACTTGAACCACTCGTGGACGCCGAAGAGCCGCACCAGCAGGATGGCGATAGAGATACGGGCCGTGATGGACACCAAGAGACCCGGCGTGTTGGCGAGCCATGACCATTTCAGGACATTGCTTATCTGGTCCATGGTTAAGCTGGCATCATGCTTGCCCAGGCCGTAGTAGTAGCCAGTAGACACGAAGCCCATGGAGATCATGTGAAACGCCTTTAGAGGTACCGGGTCAGCGCCTGGTTGTCGAACCATGATGACAAGTACCGTGCATTCCACATCAACTTACCAAAGCGAGACACATGAGCCAGTCATCGCTGGAGAGGCGCTTGGCTAGTGATTGACGGACATAGGCGCGGAGCCCAACGGCGGCCATGGCGAAGACGGTGAAGGTCCAGGCCAGCCCCATCTCCATGGGGCCATACCCGGGGTCCTCCGGGTTAACCGGCGGCGGAAAGTTCATGATTTCGATGGCTTTTCAGTAACGGTACCAGGTTCAAAACCAATTGCTGGGGAAACACAGGAAAAACCGTGAATTCCAGGCTCAGTCCAGGGGTTGGTCGAGTCGGCACATTTAAACGCTCACGACGGGAACGAAAAGCGTGCGCACGATCTCTTCTCAGCACCGAGGCGAGTAAGCGGCGCGGCCATCACTCCTCGTGGCACAAGGTGCCGAACCTACGACACATGGTCGCATCGTGGCTCGACTGCGCCGCATTTTACAGGCGCTCGCCACTGCCGCCGAGTCTTGCATCGAAGAATCGGGGACCGTCTTCCAAGCCCGGCTGCTGCTCAATGCTGCTTCAACGGCGTATGGGTGGGTGGGGGATAGAGGCACAGGCGGGACCGCGATGGGGCCGGGATACAACTTGAGCCAGCACGAGAATCGAGATCAGCCAGCCAGCCCTCCACGGCCTGGACAGTCCACGCCACGAATGCAACCCTCCCTGTATGCGCGGGGGCGGAGGAAGCGAGATTCGCCCAATCAACACCTCCGTCCTCAGGGGCGTTGTATCAGTCGAACTTAAGATAGGCCGCGGGAGGAGGGAATTCCCGTTACACGGCATTGGAGCGAGAAAACGAGCTGGGCGGGGAGGTTTGAAGAAGGGCAGCTGCCTGGGACTTTGGCGCTGCGAGTGTCTCGTTGTCTCAGTTCACCCTTAATCACCCTCCCGCGTCGTGGCGGGGCATTGCGCATGCAGGAAGACCGGATGGAGAGGTTCCCGCAGCTTCCAGCCGCCAGTAATGTACCTTACACAGTATACCCCAGTACAAGCACCCGGCCCCCCCTTTCCTTCGGCTTTTGCCGTCACCGAACGCCGTGTGGTGGGGATGATTCCTGCCGCTGATGCATGCATCGCGAATCGTTCCCTTGATGGCTCACTGCTCGCGCGACAAACATTTCGGTGAGATTCTCGCCATTTTTCTGCTCAGAGCCTTTTTGTAATCCTGGTGTCGTTTTTGGTCTTCGGTGATTGTGTGGGGTTCCATGTACTTTCGTGGTGGTGTTGGTTTGCTCCCTGCAGCACGAACCCCTGGATTTATTAAGCCAGCCGAAGCCACAAGCCAACCTTCAAAGTGACTGTTGGTGCCAACGACCAACCGTCAACTCGTTCGTCTGCCCCTCCCTTTTCCGCCCTCACGCGAGCAATGGAATACATCAACAGCTTGAGAAGCCTCCTCGGCTGGCGCAACGTGGCTGGGGCGGCCATCACCTACTACGCAACCCTCGCCTTCTATCGCCTGTTCCTGCACCCTCTCGCTCGATTTCCCGGGCCGAAACTGGCTGCCGTCTCGCGGTGGTACGAAGCTTACTACGATGTGATTCAGAACGGACAGTATACCAAGAAAATTGCGGAATTGCACCAGCAATACGGTTAGGCATTCGACTTTATCAGTGAACCGCAGCCAGCTCTCAAAATTGTATCCCTGACTCCATGCTCGAGTAGGCCCCATTATTCGCATTAGTCCCTTCGAACTGCATGTGATCGACCCAGCGTTCTATGACAAGATTTACCGCAACGATGGTCGCTGGGACAAGTACCGCTTCATGTACGATGCTTTTGGGGCGAAGAGCTCCACTGTCTTCGGCGCAGGTATGACCCTCGTTTCCCAATGGGCACCGTTATTCGGCATGACCGACGTCCCCTGGCTCGGATAACTAAGTACCCGGCTTGTAGACCACGATGCCCACAAAGCCCACCGCGCCGCGATAGCCCCCCTATTCTCCAAAGCCAAGGTTGTCTCTCGGCAAGATCTCATCCGCAAAAATGTGGACAAGCTCACCAACCGGATCGAGACTCTCGCCGACAGCGGAACCACGTTCAACCTCGGCGCAGCGGCCAGTGCCTTCACCAGAGATATCGCAAACGAGTACATTACGGGCAAGGAATACAAGGAGCTGGACCTGGAAGACTGGGGCATTGGTCTGTCCATTTCGTCCCAGGGAGCAGGCGTGTTCTGGCGTACAACGAAACACGTCCGCTGGTTCGGACCGACTCTGAGGTCCATCCCGATCGACTGGGTCATGAAGACAGCCGACGAAGGTACCCAGCAGTTCCTTCGGTACCTCCAGGTAAGATAACGTCAACATGGGCGGCGTAAGTATGTGACTAACACCCACGGTCAGCAATCCGAAGCAGACACCAAAGAAACCCTAGCTGCGGCCAATTCTTCCGATCCCAAGGACAACTCCCAAAACACCGTAATCCACGAGATTGTGCGCTCCAAGCTCCCGCCTTCCGATAAGACGTTTGAGCGCATCTTTGAAGAAATCGCCACCCTAACAGGCGCGGCCTTCGAAACGACCGCCAACGCTTTGCGCCTTATCCTCTTCAACGTCTACAGCAACCCCGACATCCTCCGACGCGTCCGGGCCGAGATCGTGACGGCCGCAGCTACCTCGCCCGACCCGATCCCGCTGACGACGCTCGAGAAGCTGCCGTACCTCACCGCGGTCCTCATGGAGGGCATGCGCCTGAGCCCGGCCATCGGCACGCGGTCGCCGCGCCAGACCGACAAGGACCTGGTTTATGGGGACTGGCGTATTCCTGCTGGCACACCGGTTGGCATGACTACGCTGCTGATGCATACCGATGAGAAGTTCTATCCTGACCCGCTGCGCTTTAACCCTGACCGATGGGTGGACCCTGCGGACCGGAAGGCACTCGAGAAGGTGTATGCGCCGTTTTCCAAGGGGACGAGGATTTGCGTTGGGATGCAGTAAGTGACGCTCGTGTTTCTCGTGGATGTCTGTGCTAACAGATCAAGCCTCGCCTGGGCCGAGTTGTACCAGCTGCTCTCCACGCTTGTTCGCCGTTTCGACTTTGAGATCGAGGGCGCCACGGCCGAGGACTTCCTCTTTGAAACGGACAACTTTGGGATTGGTACGAAGGCAGGATGCAACCTGGTGGTTCGTGCGACAGCGGTGCACGAGGGTTAATGTATGAAGCATCTGTATTGCTCGAATGACCAAGAATGTATTATATTCTGCCTGTCTCGGTGCTGGATGCCACACGGATCGAAATGTGAGCCGACGGTACTTGGATTCCTTTGTATCAAACTGGCCACCCCCGAACAGTAAACTCGAAGCCAGGTAAACAGCGGCAACGCATCATCCACCCCCTCCCTCAACACCAACACCCAACCTCCTCACAACACCGCCTTCCCACCCGCCCGCGCTCCAAGTCACTCCTGCACCGTCATGCCCTCCATAAACGGCGCAATATAATCCATCTTCCCCACCTCCACCCCAACCCCCCTCAAAATCGAATACGCCATACACAAATGAAACATAAAATTCGGCAGTCCATACCCCAACAAATACCCCTTCCCCCCCCACACAAACCTCCTC